AAACCGTCACAGAGATTCAAGACAAGATTGGAAAGCGACTTTATGAAAGCTGCGTAAAGTAATGAGTAGTTTTACAAATTACCTTACAACATTGTTAGTAAATTATTACAGCAAATACCAATGCATCTCAACCCACTGGAAAAAATTGGCCGCTTTAAAGGTTGTAAATTTGATGTATATTTGATATAAGTGTCCAAAATGATGTAAATTTGATGTAAATCATTTCCATCAAATTTACAACCTTTATGGCGAGCGATTTTTTCCAGTGACCTCGGCACTACAAAGTTTGTTTGGAGTTTTGTTTTCTGAGAATTGGGATGAATCTTGAAAGAAAGATAACAGACAAAAAGAAAAAAAGAATGAAAAACCTTTTGAAGAAGAACTTAGGTGCACTCTAAGTCTTTTGTTTCGAAAATTTACAAAGAATATAGATTCCTTCAAGCTAATGGAAGCAGCTTAGAGAAGTATAATTAACATACTCTCTTCTCACAAAGCACAGAATAGAAGAAACTCCAAACAGATGTAAAAGTTGCAATGCATCGACTCCTGCTGTAATAATTCTCGTGAGAGACTGCTTTCAGACTACATGTATACTCTAATGTTTTTATCCTATTCAATATCTAGAGGTCATATTCCCAATGGTACAGATCTACTGACTTCAGATGAAATAGTTACACTCAAGCGTTGTATACTAGGTGCCCAAGTAAGGTTTCGCCATTCAAGATCTGTGTGTTTCGTAAATAGAGTATAATTGGTGTTTTTTTTTTTGTTTTGTTCAGCGACCGTCTCTACCTCCAATTGTCACACATAATGTTGTAGATAGTTCAGGTGATCCTATACTTTGCCATGTTAGGCGATGTCAGCTGTTTAATGGACACCATGAGAGAGTCAAGGTGAGTTTTGAGAGCTCTGGTTGAACTACTCTCTCCCATACTTTGCTCAATCCATCCTCCGGGTAGGTAAGCTCGACAGACGGATTGAAAAATGACTGTAAAAGGTACGCATGAATTAATTCCGGTATCGATTCCAGACCCTAAAAGGTACGACAATTTTTGACGTTTTTAACCCTAAAAAGTCCGTCGAACATACCTACCAACTTTTATAAGGGAGTACCCCCTCCCCCTGGGCCCAACCTCCCTCTCCTCTTCTCTGCCTACCTCACTTCTTCTTCCCTCTTTGTCTCGCTCCCTGTCGTCTCCCTCCCTCCTTCCTACTTCCCTCTCTGCCTACCTGCCTCCTCCTCGCTCTTCTTTGTTCCCTCATTCAATCACCCCTCCCTTCTAACTCCTTCCTTTCTTCCTTGCTCGACGTCCTTGAAACATACACCCTATAAGCCTGCGTGCGTCTAGTTAATTGCTGGATGAATCTTAGGCTAAGCCTATGCTTGMCATTTGTCTTTTCCAGGTTATATTTCATCCCGAGTTTCTGTCCAATATCAACCCTCTGCTAGCGATGGAATACGGTGAATTTGTACGTGGATGTCATTTAGGTGTCTTTCCTTCTTATTATGAACCGTGGGGATACACTCCAGGTACGGAGTCTCGTTATATCAGGCAGCTTTGGTGTCCTCTACAAGTGTCCGCTGTAAAGAGGGTTACTTTCAGTAGTTTCCTTGAAGTAAAGTGTCCGTAATATTGGGGTGAACACAACTTTCTTGTATGAGTTGTATTTCTTAAGCTGCGGCTACACGAGCTATTTTTCGCTTGCGCAGGCGACGCGATTTTCGGGTACGATGAAAGCTGAACATCGAATTTGAGCTGTTTTTGTACATATACCTCTTTATGGAGATTCAAATAAGTATTTGTGAGGATTTTTTTTATCTATACAGCACTGTCGCTCGTGTAGCAAAATGCGCTGGTGATTTTGAGAAAATCGCGTCGCCTGCGCAAGCGAAAAATCGCTCGTGTAGCCGCGGATTTATGTCAACGTCAATGGACTTCTATCGTTATGACGTCACATTTGGTGAAATGCATCAGGTTTTCATACAAGAAACAAGATGGCGGATATGTAATAATACCTACGTTAGATGTAGAATGATGAGCTTTAGGGAGGGGGAAGAGGAGACGGAAGAGGAGGGGTTGGAGGCAACCTCTGGTTCCGAATGTGTGCGTTATTACTGAAGTTTGAGTAATCTTCATAGTAATTTATAATTGTCGTATTTTATACTATTTTTCTAGCTGAATGTACAGTAATGGGTATCCCATCAGTCACCACGAACCTKTCAGGGTTTGGTCGATTTATGGCTGAGCACGTGACCGACCCCACGTCATACGGGATCTACATCGTCGATAGACGGTTTAAGTCAGTRGACGAATCAATTACCGAACTATTTAATGTAAGAATAGTATTTTTACCACACGTGTAAATTCTTGCGCGCTGATTGGCTGATTAGAGTGTGTCAATAAGAGGACATGCGCACTGTGCTGACACTACGTCTCGCGCGCGCATGCTCAATCGAAAGAAAAGATTTTTAGACTAACAATGCGGTCAAAAATCAAATTGCACACGGTTTTTCGTTGTATATCCTCTTATTAACACTCTTATCGCTGCGCTCGTTGGTCCACTTGAGTTGTGAACATGTTATGACGTCAGAAAGTGCGTCAAAAAGAGGCAACACAACTGTCAACACAACTTAAAACCGTGCGCAATTTGTTAAAATCACGTTTGTACATCAACCCCCCACACCTCCCTTGTGTTTAAAAATAAAGCAAAGCATCAAGGGAAGGGAAGGAAAGGCGCAAAGCGATGTTAGTTGTCTTTCTCTTCATATTCGCTGATTTTTCCTTGTCATTTGTCAGTATATGGTAAGCTTCTGTAGCCTTACAAGAAGACAACGAATCATTCAGCGAAACCGTACCGAGCGACTTAGTGAACTGTTGGACTGGAAGAGTCTCTTTCGGGTAATTATTTAATAATTACATGGTTTAGATTTGTATTCCATGGACACACTGGATATCCAATCTCATAGATCGAGACAATTCTCCTTTAGTGACTTACAAAGCCTTATGAAAAGTCTCCTTCAGGGTTCCCTGCTTCATCTTGAAAGGTAAGCCGTGCTCTTTGCATCGAAACGAGAAAACTCTCGAGCGTACAATTACAGAAACCTTCTTCTACACCTACAAACAAGTATTCACAGGTATCTATCATTGGACGCTCAACGGTTGTCTCCCTTCGATGCATAGTATCGGCTTCCTTTTAAGATGGCGCAGGGAACCGTGAAGGAGGCTATTTAGGAAACCTTGAAGGAGACTATTTATAAGGCTTTGTAAGTCATTGCTCTATAACTTCGTAAAAAGTAAGAAATATTTTTACTCTTGTTCTTTGTTTGCGATTTCAGACTGATTTCAGTAAAGTCATTGATTTGACGGTATTTCTTTTGCATTCGCAGTTCTATTCACGTGCCCGAGTTCTTGGTCTTCATTGCCTTGAGCCAGAGAAGTACAAAAAGCCAGCTTTGTATGACGAAATTGTAAGTAGATCGTTTGCTATTGTCAAGACTCAGCCTTAACGATCATGAACCATCCTTTCTTGTATTCATCCATCAAGTCAATTATAATATTTTAGGCCGTTAATTACCATTCACCTATCCATTCATGTTTTTTTATCCAGTCATTATTTTTTATTTGTATTTCAGCGCACTCAATTCAGCTACCCTCGACCAGGATCCGCCCCACCCTCCCCCGCACCGTCAGAACATGGCTCAGACCCAGATAGCGAATCCGAAACCGAGGAAGACAAGAACTATCGTCTGTTTGAGCGCTGAAAACGCGGAATTATTTTTACTCACAGGATCT